GGGCTCCCTGCTCAGCGGGGAGCCTGCTTCTCCCTCTCCCACTCCCCCTGCTGTGTTCCTGCTCTTGTTGTCTCTCTCTCTCTCTCTCTCTGTCAAATAAATAGATTTATTTATTTATTTTGAGAGAGATAGAGAGAGAGAGCACAAACACTCGCCGACGTGGATGAGCACAGGGAGGGTCAGAGGCAGAGAGAGAAGCAGGCTCCCCACTGAGCAGGGAGCCTGATGGGGTACTCTATGTGGGGCTCGGTCCCAGGACCCCGAGATCATGACCTGAGCTGAAGGCAAGCACTTAACCAATGGAGCTACCCAGGCGCCCCACCTCCTGGACCCTTTTATAAAGATGCCAGTTTTACTGGGATAACCCCTGGCTCTTTAGAGCATGAGTTTCTCCCTGGGAGCGGGGAGAGGCAGAGGGGTGCTGGAGGGTGGGCAGCAGAGAAACAGGAAGCAGGCCCAGATGTCCATTCTGTCCAGGCCCGCCCAGCTCAGGGAGACAGACTTGTGCTCCCCTGGCACTGGCTGGGCTGGCACTCTGCTCCTTGCTCTACTTGGGGATGATTGCTGCCAGCCCAGCTGACCTACCCAGATGAGCCGGTAGGCAGGAGAGGGGGCAACATCTAGAGTACGTCCTGCACTTGGCCAAGGCTGTCTGCACCCATCTGAGAAAGAGAATCACCAGAAAGAACCTTGGACAGGCTGCAGGTTAGCCTTGCCTGGGAAGGACGTGCCAGTGGAGCCCCCCACCCTGACAGACCACCACCCACCAAGGGCCTCACCTCCAAGCCAGGGTTTTCTGTGTGCCCCTTCCCTGGGAGACCCTCCTGGTTCACTGCTAGTTGATTTGAAAACCAAAAACAAAACCAAAAAGGATGGGTGACCAGTGCTAGGCGTGTCTGCCCTCAGGTATGTTGGAGTTGAGGCAGGGGGCAGGTCCCCTACCAGATTTAGGGCTTGATTCACCCACCACCCCCAGTCCTAATCCCAGAGGACATTTCAGAAAGGTGCATGGGTGCTGCTGGATGCTCCAGACCCACCCCGTCCCCCAGTTAGCCTGAAGAATGGGCCACCGTCTCCCCTTTATTTTCACAGAAGAGATCAAAGCTGGACTTCAGAGACTGTGCTATCTGGTTCTTTTTGGAAGGAATCTTGGTGGAGACTATGTTGGCTCCTCAGGCACCTGTTGATATAATTTACACCCTGACATAATTGTCTCACCTTTTGCCTGGATGGCTGCCTTTATTTTCATAGAAAAGATCAAGGCTTTTGGTGGCTCAGGAGTACTGCAGGCCCGAACACCTGGTCGGCAATGGGATGGCCTCCTTGGCGCCACCTACTGTCAGGTGTAGCCCACAACAGGGGAGAATGCCTGCAAAAGGGGCATTCACCCCTCTGTAAATACAGTGAGAACACGGGAGAATGTAGCATTTTTTCATGCTTTCCTGAAGGTAATGGTCAAGTGGCAGCAACTGAGCTGGCACGAATGAAGTCATTGTATATGGCAATGAGTGCCAAGAGCTAATGTGGGACATACAGGCATGCCCTCCGAGTACAGAGCAGAGGGCATCTGTGTGTAAGGGTGAGCAGGACTTGGACAGGTGCAGCAGACAAATGCCGACAGATGGGGGTGAGTGCAGGCGGGATGCTCAGTTTAGGGCAGTGGCTGAAGGAGGTACCAACAGAAGACTGGAAAGGGAGATGGGAGCCTTGAATGCCGGAAGAAATGGTTTGAACTTCACCTTGAGGCTCTGGGAACATTTCGAACACTTTAAGCAGGGAAATGATGGGCTGGAAAAGGGGGGTGGGCATATTAACATGGTCAGATCCTCACCTGTAACAAAGCTTGATGGGCCAGCAGTGTTCTAAGGAGTAGAGGAGAACAGATGTGGAGTGGAGACCCTTGTGAAACGGGTATGCCAGAGAGTTGCTGAACGCTTTTTGAAGGCTGGATGGGTACAAGCTGAAATCCACCTGTTTAGTTGTGGCAGGCAGATCTCCTTCCGCGGCCAGAGGGTTTCAGAGCACTCTGCAGCTACACAGCCAGCCCCGGCTTGGGAGGAAACTGGGGAAGGTGGAGTTACTAGCCAAACCCATTGGTCACAGGAGAAGGCTGGGGGCCGTCTTTGATCTTCTACCCCCGCCCTCAACCCGACCCCAAGTCAGCTGTGAGCACCGCCCCCCCCCATGACCCAGACATAGTGCAGTGGTGGTGGTGGTGGGGAACTACCTAATTATAAGACAGCAATTTGTCCAGTGCTGTGCCCTCCTCACTTTTTTTGCATCTGGGGGAAAAACTTCAGAAATGAGGACAGATTCAAGTTGGAAGTTCCCCGAGAGAGCATCTAACATAGCCCCCTTCAGTTAGAAATGGGAAGGTGACATTCCCAAAGTTACACGGCTCGATAATTCTAACACACAGATGTATTAAGTGCTTCAATTCTCACACTTCTGAGGTAGGTATTGTTATCCTCCTTGTTCTATAAATGAAGAACCCCTGGACAGGGAGTATGAGTAGCTTGTCCAAGGACTCCGAGCTGGTAAGGGGAGGGGGCTGGGAGTGGAACCTGGAGTCTGAATCTGGCATTTCTGGCTTGGGGTGGGGGGCTTTTGCCCCTCCATCACCAGAGGCTGCCTTCCTGGCCACAAGGGAGGTCACCATGGCTCCCAGCCCTCTCTATTCTGGCAGGAGCTGCCCCCAGCCTCTTGGCTTTGCCCTTCCTCCCACAGGGCCTAGTTCAGTGCTGAGCTTGCAGGAAATGTGCTTCCTGAAGCTGGGACTTCCCCACGGAGATTGAGGGGCAGCTGGGCATCCCTGCCTCAGCCTGAGGGATGACTCTGCTAAGCCACCATGTGTCTCAGGAACTCAGGGCAGCCGCTCACCTTGTCAGGTGGGCAGCGAGGGGGTGGCTGAGCCGCCCTTGCCATTCCTTCACGAATCACTCGAAGGGAATGGATTCTCCTCTGGTAGGAGGCAGGGTGGGAGGTGGTCATGCAGGGGTACAGAGCCCTCTGGGTGGTCACAGAGCTGCTCCAGGCAGGGCTTCAGAAGGCAGACAGGAGAGAAGTGTGTGGCCCCCATGAGGGATCCCCATCACCGTGAGGGCTCAGGCATATCTGCATGGCGGGGAGGCACAGGCACGTGGCCTGGAAGGGAGTGTGCTTGGGTGTGTGTTGGTGGGGGTGTGGGTTCTTTTGAGCCCACACAAAGCCTTGTGCTGAGACACTGCATTCCTGCTGGCTGGGCTTCCTGTTCCAGATGCATTCTTGCCCCAGAGTCACCAGGGAGACTGCTTGGAATCTGGCCCCACATTCTCCAAATTCAGGGCGAGATCTGGCAGAGGTTCCCTCCCTTTACCTCCCCACCCTCTCACTTTGGAGGAAGGAAGCCACCTGATAGGCCAGCTCTCCAACCCTCCTACCTAAGGGCTGGGGTGGGGTCTGACACTGCCTGTGGGGTTTGGTGCCACACATCCTGTTGGACAAGCATAAAGCAGTTCCTGCCAGGCCCTGCCTTCTGTTTCCCTGTCTACATCTGGGAAAGAGGAATGGAGTGGGGTTGCTGTCTAGGAGGACAGGGTTAGGAGGGGACAACCCAGAGGACCTCTGCCTAGCAGGGAAGGGCTTAGCCTGAAAATCAAGGTGTTAAGAGATGGCAGGTAATTCAGGCACTAGGCTCTCATTCTTTCTCCAGCCTTGGCTACAGGCCTCAGTTTCCCCCAAATTATACAGTTAGAATCTTATAGTTTGCGGCTCTCTGATAAGTCTCTTCTGCAAGGAAGGTGTTTGCAGAAGGGTCTGAAGGAGCAAGGAGCAGAAGAGGGTGGGCAGACTGTTTTCTCCCCTCCCAGTTAACGGCCACTTCCTTCCAAGGGCTCCGGTTGGTTCCAGCCCCTCCCCCAGAGGCTCAGGTGCAAGTTTGCACGTCCACCAGCTCCCTTATCTGCCTCCAAGGGATTTGGGTCCTGCTGGGATTTTTCCCAGCCCTGTCACCTTCCTCAGGAGGATGAGGTTTCCTTAGAGGCCAGCAGCCCCCCTGGTCACCAGGCTGTGTCCCCTTCAGCAGCTGCCTGGGCTCCTAGCCTCCTTAAAGGCTGGGGCCTTTAAGGGTGAGGGATGGTGGAATCCCAGGACCAAAAGAGGGTTGGGGTGGGGACAGGGAAGTATTTACGCTTCCACCGCCTCCAGGCTGCTTCCCTGTCTCCCTGGCTCACTTCCCCAGATCCTGAAGCCCCCCACCCCCAAGCCCCAGCTTTCGGGTGCTCGGGTGAGGGAGACATACGGGACAAGGAGGGGATTCAGATCTAGCCCAGGACTCAAGGCGCTCTACAGTTGTTGGAAAGGATTTCCATGTGGACAGGGATCACTTCCCCCTTCCATCGCGTCAGCTTTCTGAGTGGCGGAGTGACTTGCCCCGGGCACACAGCTGGGAGCGCAGGGACAACCTTGTCCCGGTCAGCGCTCTTCCCGCAGCCAGCACGTGGGGCTCCATTTCCTTCCGCGCTCCCGTCCAGTCCCCGCCGACCCTCCACCCCCATCCCCGGCTGCATTTCGGCGGCAGGAAGGCAGACCAGCATGTGAACCGGGAGTGGGGGGGGTGCCGGGTAACCCCGCACCTCGAGCCTGACAGCGTCCGTAGGCGGGGGTCTCCGCTCCTCGGCCGGCGGCGGGAGCGCGGGGCTGCCCGGAGCCTGAAGGACAGCGGATCGAGGCCTTTTCCCGGCTCCCCGGCGCGCCCAGCGCGCCCCGGCTCCCAGCCCCCGCCCCCGCCCCCCGCGGCCGCTCCGGGCGCGCCCCCGCCCCCTGCTGCCCGCACACCTGCGCGCCCCTCCCCCCCTTCCCCTCGCTCCCCGCCGCGAGGGTCCCGGGGCCGCGCCCAGCCGGGGCCGGACGCGCGTGCGAAGCCGCCCGCCAAACAGCGGCGGGGGGACGCTGGCCCGGGATCGCGGGGCCGGCTGCTGCGGCCGCGGCCGGGGCGCCGCGTCGGGGCCGGGAGCGGGGCCATGCTGGGCCGGCGGCGCGTCTTCGCCGTGGAGCCGCTCGGCGGCCGGGGTGAGTCGCCCACCCCCCAGGTCGGCCGGGGCCTGCCGCTCTGGAGCCGACTCCCGCGCCGAGCCCCGGTCTGCGCTCCCCGTCCCAGCCCGTACACCCCGCCCAGGGCGCCCGACTTCGCAGCCTCCCTTCCGACGGGCTGAGTGATGGCGCCGTGCGCTTTGGAGACCCTCTGGGTTTGGGCGTTAAACCAGCCACCACCTTCCATCCCATTCCCCCCCCTCCGCCCCGGCTCCACTTCCCCGTGTGGACCCTTCGCCCACCCCTTGCCCCCGCCGGCAGGTCCAAAAGCTCCCTCCGCGGCGGCCGACCCCTTCCCGAAGGAGACTTCCTGGCTGGCTTCCTTGGCCAGGGGGGGCCTGGTTTGGCCCGCAGCTCCCCGGCGTGGCCGGCGGTGAGACGGAGGCGGCCCTCCATCCTCTCCCGCACTAGTTTGTGCATCAGTTTTACAGCTGGGGACCCAGCGCGTGGGTAGGGCCTGGCGCAGAGGGGACAGTCCTCGGGAGCTAGCGCTGCTTCTCCTCCTACACCCCCCCCCCGTTCCCATTTAAGTTTTTTTTTTCCAACTCTCCACCAAATCTTCACTATTTCTCATTTAAAAGAACAGAAGCCCGCAGTGCTTATAGCTATTCTTATTTTTATTACCCTCCCCTAGGAGCTCCTGGAGAGACTTCATCCTGCATCCTGATGTTAGTTTGGACCCCAAGCTTCCTTCTTTGTGCCCGTCCCCATTTCCCCGAGGCCAGAGGGTGGGGGTGGGGGGTCACAGTCCTACTGCCCCGTGGGGAGTAGTTGGAGAGACTGAGGCTCCCCATTCAGGACTTGGAGGTCTTAGGCTGACCATAGGCTCCTTAGTACAAGAAGAGAGCAGCAACCCCCTCAAAGGAGGCTAGGCCATCCAAGGAGCTGGTTAATATGCCCTACATGGCTTTGCCTACCACACAGCCCAAATCCGGGGCGGGGGGGGGGGGGTCTGTGATCGGCAACAAAGACCGCTTGTGAAGGGAACCCCTGCTAACTTCTCCCAGCCAGGGATGGGGAGAGATCTGGGCGGGGCTGTGGCTGTCCAGCCTGTCCCCTCCCTTCACCTCGGCCCAGGACACTCCTCCCCGGGGAATGCTGCTAGTTGCCAGGAACGCTGGGGGCGTTAGGGGCAGCCTGCCCAGCCTGATGCTGACTCTCCTTGCAGATGGGGTTGGTGAGGACTTGGCACACGGTTGTGTAGTACCTGGAGTCAGCAGCACCTACCGACGGATTCCGGACGCTGCTCAAGGTTGCTCGCTGGACTCCTGGAAGGGAGATGGCCAGCTGAGAGGTCTCAGGAGGCAGGAGCCACTTCTCAAACTGGCCTCCCGGGACTCAGGAGTGGAGATGGTGGTTGGGGACAGCCTCCTGGCCACCTCACCGGGCCTTTCTCAGGACTCTCTGGACTTTGAGCCCACAGGGAGCCCTGAGCCTCTGGCCCTTGCTTCCAAGGAGCCTCCTGCCCACCTAGGCCGGCTTCTGGCCAACCGTAAGCTGGAGCAGGTGCTGGAGCGGTCCCGCCAGCTCCCGTCTTCCCCTGCCAGCATGTCACAACGCCACCTCTCCCTGAAGCCCCCCAGCGAGCCTGAATGTGAAATGCCCCTTTTTGGAGCCAGGGAACAGGAGGCCACTGAGGCAGAAACTGACCTGGAGGCAGGCCTGGAAGAAGCAGAGGTGGTGAGTGTCAGCTCTCAGGCTGGGTCAAGAGTGGGATGGAAATGGCCTTTTTACACAGAGGGGTGGGTTGCTGGCTGGTGGGGCCTCACTGACTTGTTCTCCTTGGAGCTCTCTTGGGCTGGGGCGTTCCTTGCAGCTAATTGACGGGTTGTTCTCGCCTCAGCCCACTCCCAGCTGTGTGGAGGTGGGCAGGATGGGGGCTGGCCTGGCAGCATGCCCGGCTGGGTACTGGGAGGCCAGCCCGGGGGCGTGTGCCTCCTCTCCCTGGCCCCTCTGCACCCATCTGCTGGCTGCCTAGGATGGGAGCCTGCTTGAGTTCCGAAGTCCCCCCCCCCCCGACCTCACTCTGTCCCACAGGCGGGGGGCCTGGGGCCTGAAGCCTGGGCCTGTCTCCCAGGGCAGGGTCTCCGCTACCTGGAACACCTGTGCCTGGTGCTGGAGCAGATGGCAAGGCTCCAGCAGCTCTACTTGCAGCTGCAGACCCAGAGGCCCCCACGGGGGAGTGAGCCACAGGGCCAGCAGGCCAGCGGGGGGCAGGTGAGTGGGGGCGGCAGAGGAGGGCTGGGACCCCTGGAAGCAGCCCTCGAGTCAGGTCTCGAGTGCCTGTCTGTCCTGTGCACAGGATCGTGAAGTGGAGGAAGAGAAGGAGGCGGGGAAGCCCACCCTGGCCCCCTCACTGCCGCCTTCTCGTGCCCCAGGCCGTGAGGTGCACGGATTGCCCAGCCAGACGCAGGAGACAGGTGAGGGGCAGTCACGTTTCCCTGTGTGTCTTACCTGCCCAGGGCCACCCTCCTCCCCCGGCAGACCCCGTGAGCCCTGGGCTTGACGGGTGGCTTCCTGCTTCTGGCCCTGGGTAATCTGATTCTCTTTCTGAAGGGGCAAAATCAGCTACGCCCCTAAAGGTAGGGCTGCCCAGTGCCAACCCCCCTGTGCTGTTAGAGGCCGCCGCAGAGCCCGCTCACATCTTTCCATCCTCCCAGGGACACAAGGTAGGTGCTGGGTATGTGTGGAGGCAGGGGACAGGCTGGAGCGGGGCTGTGGGGTGGTTGGGATGTGTACACGACGTGAAGGCCAGGAACGCTGGCAAAGTGACAGAATTCCTGATTGGAGCAGGTGACTTGTCCTGCCTGTGCTGCCCGCTGGCTCTGGGAGCTTGGTCAGGGGCATGTTGTGGGGAGGAGCTCTGTGGTGATCCCCTCACCCTCTGCTCAGCGGGATCTCTCCCACTGGAACAAGGTCAAGGTCCTGCTCAACCGGATCCGTTGGAGGAGCCCGAAACACCCTGAGTCCCCTGCCCCTCCTGATGGCTCTGCCCCTAGGTGAGTCCTGGGGCCCAGCCTAGGTGAGGGCAGAGGAGGAGCCTGATGAACCAGGATGCTGAGATTGTAGGGCCAGTTGTGTTTTTTTGGTCCCCTGGAGATCCGAGAGACGTAGATAGTCTTGGAGAGGGTGCAGGAAGAAACAGAAGGCAGTTAAAGCATCCCGTTTACAGGGGAGGAGGCTGGGGACTGGACTGGGGAAGGAAGTTGCTTTCCTGAGGCTACCTGCGTGGTGAGTCCGTGGCAGAGCCAGGACCGGAGCATGGGAAACCCCTCATGCCCGTCCAGCAAGCCCTCACCCCTCACAGCTGAACCTTAGGCCACCTCCCAGATTTGCTGGGAGAGCAAGGTTGGGCCACAGAGGATTCCACAGTAGGTGATGGGGGGTAATGTGGGGCTAGGAAGCACTATGTCGATGTCCCCAGGCTCCCCACGGCAGATACACAGTGTTCCATCAACTCTGGGGCCATTGCTGCTTTCATTTCCTCCTCCTAGCCTAAAGCTACCTTCTCTTTTCCACAGGATTGAGTCAAGGGGTGTCCCTGAAAGACCTCCATGCCAGCCCCTCCGGAAGACCTTTGTGCCATCATTTGTGGTTAAGAAGCAACGAGCAAAAAACCTTTCTGTATGCTGAGACCTCCTGGTGCAGGGACGTGACCCTGGGTGGGGGTGTGTGCAGTGAAGGCTTCTTCCTCGCCCTTTGCCTGTTGCTGCTTCTGGGCACTGCCAGGAAAAGCTGCTGATGCTCACCCTTCTCTCTGAGGAGAGGGCTGGATCTTTCTCCTCTGGGCAGCCTGGCAGAGGAGCCCGGGTTCCCTGAGAGGCCCCAAGGTGTGGCAGCCCCCGGGCTCCTTGCTGGTTGCCAGAAATCCCTGGGCCTAGTCAATGTGAACTAACTTATTTATCAGGAGTCCATGGAATGTGTTTGACATGGTGATCTCCTGGGGCCTAGCATGTCTCAGATGTGTATTTGTGCAAGATGATACGTGTATCTCTGTGAGTCTGTCACTGTTGTGAACTGGCTGGATACAGCTGTCTCTTCGGAATCATGCCCTCAAAGGGTTGGTCTTCTGGGTGAGGTAACTGCGAAAGGATGGAACCGAACTTCATTCCTCAGTGGGCAGTTACTGATTTGGAGTCCTGCTTTCCTTCTCAGACCTTCGTGGGTAGCCCCAGGACGGGTGGGGCGGGGGTACTATCTTGGGTGCCTCTGCATGGTGTCTTGCCTGTGAAACAGAGCCCCTGAAGACCAGACCTGGAATGGAAGGGTCAGGGACAACATGGAGAAGAGCAGAGTAAGCTTCAAGGTCTGTCTTCAGCTGCTTTGGTCCCTAATAACCTTTACATATCAGAGCAGAAACCAGAAACATACTTGCTTTTAGACCTTGACAAAAATCCCTTAACTTTTCTGAGCCATAGCTTCCTACTTAATCTCCCAAATGGTTTAATGATACCTGCCCTACCTACCTCACAGTCTTATTATGAAGATAAAATGAGATTAAACTGTCTTGAAGTGCATTGTGAATGTTACATGAATAGGAAGGGGACGGCATGGGGTTGGAAGGAGGCCAAACTGGAGGGATGATGGGAAGGCCAGAGGATAAAGGAGGCCTGGAGTTGCTAATGCAGACAAACGGCCAGTGATTAGTGGCAAGACTTGAAGCATGTCATTTCACTCAAGTCTTAGGTTTCATAACTGAGAATTAGGGCACTAGTGCCTGACCTTATTTTCCAGGGTTGTGAGAACTAAAGGAAATGTTTCTGAGAACATTGTAAATGTCTACCAAAATATTGTGGTGGTTTATTTATTACGGCATGTAGTGTTCCTAGCTCTTTGCTAATTGAGAAAGGGGAAAGCTTAGTCTCCTGCAGATATCCAGAGGATGGGAGGGGACGGGTGTGTATGTGTGTGTGTGTGTGGGTGTCAATGGAAGGGCCGGGCTAGGGATGAAGTCATTGGCTTGAGTAAGACAGGAATGTCTCCTAGAAATGGCCACTGATCAGGCACTCTCCTCCTTCAGGCAGGAGGGGCTGCTTCTCTTGCGGCTGCAGCCCTGGAGTCGGCCAGAATGAGGCCAGGTGTCGGGTGGTAGGTGCTCTCTTCTATTCAGGGGTCCAGCTCCTGCTGTCTTTGTACCAGGAACCAATGCTCTAAAGCCTACTTTTCTAATGGGACAGTTAAGCGGGGACACCGCCGAGGCCCGGCTTCCAAACGCGCATCCGATCGGGGAAGGCGCACTTCCGTTCCACAGTTGGAGGGGGATGACAGGCCGGCGTGGGGGAAGGGAGAAGTCGGTGGAGAGGAGGGAGGGACCATATCCGGGAGAGTGGCAGCTTCCGACCAGTGGTCGCGCTTCCGGAGAGGCGCTTCCGGTGGTGGCGGCAGTAGCGGCTGTGGTGGTTCCGGGTGTCTTTGTCCCCCCGGTGTCGCGGCCCTGGCCCGCAGGTGGGTTGGGGGGCCCCCCACCGCCTCTCTGCCCCTTCGCCCCTTCCCCAGCCGAGGGGCTGCGAGGGCCGGGCAGCAAAGATGCACGGGCCGCGGAAGGGGCCGAGCCCCCCTTCGGACTGCAAGTCCCGTCTCCCTGGCAACGGCCTCGGCCCTGGGGGCGGGCGGGAGGAGGAGAAACCGCGCGCCTTCGTCCTCCCACGGTGGCCCCGCCGCGGCCCGGCCCGGGAGGCCCGGTGCCCGCGGCTGCTGAAGCGGGAGCCGAGGCCCAGGGAGCACGGGAGCAGGAGGGCGGGCGGGTGCGCTGCCGGAATCGCGTTCGACCGGGCCACGGGGCTACCTTCGCACCAGCCTGTCCGGGGAACAACGGGCCGGGCTTCCGGGGAGAGGGCCCACACCTTCTCTTCGGCACCAGCCTCCTCCATTTTTCCGGGCCTTGCGTGGAGCATTTTGGCGGATGTATTTGAATGAATGAATGTCACTGGGGCCCTTTCCAATCCCCCACTCTCCCCAAGCATCTGCGGGTGGCGTGGCATCGTGAGAAGAGCGCTAAGTTGTTGGCGACCTGGGTGCGAGTCTCAGTTTTGTCACTAACTGGTGATGTGACCCTGGGCACGTCTCAATCTCTGTGAGCTTCAGTTTCCTTTTCTTTAAAATAGCTTGACAGTATCACCCACCACTAACTTGTGAGGGCAAACTGGAACAATGTAATTTTTGCATTTCCTGCTCTTCATGTTCTCTCCATCTCCTCCATTCATTCTCCGTACCCACCTCCTCACCTTCATTAGATCCTCAGTTACTTTTTGGGGGTTGATGGAAAATTTCCCTCTGAGCTGTTAACTTCTTTCTTTTCCAATTAAAGGTTTTTTCTAAGACTCTGAAAGAGGACAGCATTCCCAATGTCCCAGTTTAAGCGCCAGCGGATCAACCCGCTTCCAGGGGGACGCAACTTTTCAGGTGATCACCTTTATCCCTATTTGGCCTCGTACTGGGTATTAGGTGCTTTGGAGTTAGTCTTTTAAAATGTGGCTTTTGGGGTTTTCCTGGTGGAGTGCAGATTTGCTGCCAACGTTTCACAGGAAAATAGATGGGCCCAGTGGTGGCAAGTGAAACCTTGTGGAGGAGTTGCTTGGAGTCACTTTGCCCTTTGGGTCTGCCATACCTTCTGTCTGACTCTAGTGCTCAAAATGGTAGATGCAGGTTCTGGAGATTGCTTCTCTGTCCACATAGGCGCAGCTTCAACATCTCTTCTGGGTCCTCCTCCTGGTTTGCTCACTCCTCCCGTGGCCACAGACCTGTCCCAAAATGCCAGGCACCTTCAGGTAGGTTGGCATTTTTTCTAGTGAGTGTCAGCACTTGAGACTACCACAGCATGCATGGGTGCCTGGTGCTTTCATTCTTGCATCGCTGTGTTCATCCTTCCTGGTGCTCCTGACCTGGGCCAGGATGGAGGTGACTAGACACCTCTGACCGGGGATTCCTGAGTTGTGGCTCTAGGGAAATCTTTCGGGTGCTTCTTGGAATTAAAGAACTGGAAATCCTAGAAGAAGCTTCTGACCTAAGAATCAGTGTGATCTCTTCCTCCTCCTTGCAGTAGATTATGACTGTTATACGTGTGTGTCTCCTCGGTGTGAATCTCGATGCCATACTTTGTTGAAGCTGGGTGGGGTTTGGCTGGAGATGAGATGCTAACGGCAGAGCATGGACATATGCTCTCTGTTACTTTCAAACTGCACTGTTCTTTTACAGGGTGGGGAGAAGCAGCGGGTCTTCACTGGTATTGTTACCAGCTTGCATGACTACTTTGGGGTGGTGGATGAAGAGGTCTTTTTTCAGCTAAGGTAGGCTTGAGGTTAGTCCCCTGAATGCTTGTTGAATTCAATTCTGTCACTGCGCTGGTGGGGCCCCTCTGAAGCCATTGCTTTGCTGTTTTTATGCAAGGTGTGCGAAATCTTGATGGGCAGGGCCTCCTAGGGGCAGTCAAGGTGGCTTGGCCAGGGTCTCTCTCCTGACTGGGTCTCCTGGCTTGTGTGCTGGCAGTGTGGTGAAGGGCCGGCTGCCCCAGCTGGGTGAGAAGGTGCTGGTGAAGGCTGCATACAACCCAGGCCAGGCAGTGCCCTGGAATGCTGTCAAGGTGCAAACGCTCTCCAACCAGGTATGTGTCTTTCCGGCGTGTGCATTGGAAAGGGGAGGGAGGGAAGTCCCAGTGCCCTGAAAGCTGGGCAAGAACCTTACTTTTGTCAAGGGGCAGGGCTGCATCTTTCCAAGGTAGTGAGCAAATCGACCACGGGATGCCCTGAGTTTCCTGGTTACTGTCTTGCAGCCCCTGCTGAAGTCCCCAGCACCTCCCCTTCTCCATGTGGCAGCCCTGGGCCAGAAGCAAGGAATTCTGGGAGCTCAGCCCCAGCTGATCTTCCAGCCTCACCGGATTCCCCCACTCTTTCCTCAGAAGCGTGCGTACCAGTGGCATGGATGTTGGGGTGTGGCTTTATGGGGGTGAATGGGCCTGTAGCTCTCAGGTTGTTGCTCTCAGAATAGAAGTGGGTACTGCTGTCACTGGAGGAAAGGGACAGGGAAGTTGGGCAGGTATGTAGGGTTTTTGAGTCACCAGCCATTTCTTCTCTGTAGCTCTGAGTCTCTTCCAAACATCCCACACACTTCATCTGAGCCACCTGAACAGATTTCCTGCTCGGGGCCCTCATGGACGATTGGATCAAGGCCGAAGGTAAGAGAATGATCAAACAAGGAAGATATTTTATTTATTTGTCTCTAGGAGCAGTGTCTCTTTGCTACCTGTTACACTAACATTCTTTCTGCAGTTAGATCCTGGGCCCTTTCCCCTGAAATAGGCCAACGCACTGAGATGTATATGTAAATATTAGAACTTTATAAACTGGTTCAGCAAGCAGGGATTTGACATAGTTCGTCTTTCAAAATACCATATTGAAATTTATAATTTTCCGTTTTATTTCTAGTCTTTAAGACTGAGATGCCAAAAATCAAACTATCCAGAAATAGTAATTGTCCAAAAAAATGTAACTTTGCAGTGTTTGTTTTAATTACTAATATGGAGTGTTTTTTTTTTTTTTTTTTTAAGATTTTGTTTATTTACTTGACAGAGACAATGAGAGAGGGAACACCAGCAGGGGAAGTGGGAGAGGAAGAAGCAGGCTTCCCGCTGAGCAGGGAGCCCAATGTGGGGCTGGATCCCAGGACCCTGGGATCATGACCCGAGCCGAAGGCAGACTGAACCACCCAGGCTCCCCTAAAATGTTTCTTTATATGCACTGTACACATGAGTGTAGTGTTAGAATCTGTAGTTTGCACTCTGCCCAGAAGTCCAGGCCCGTGCCTAGAACACGTAGATAGCTTCATGGCCCATATGTAGCCAGCATGGTGGATTTGGGACTTTGGGGGTGTTCTAGGCCATCCTGTATCATCTGTGAGCTTTGGGGACTGCTGGGAACATGCTGCCTATTCTCTCCAGTTCATGTGTTCCTTCTCTTGCCTTACTCTCCCTAAAAGGTTTTGCTTATATTCCTAGAGTTAAGCTCTCGATTAGTTTGCTTAAGACTTGTTTTAGTTCTTCTGTTGATCCTCATTTTAATTTTTTATTAGGGAAAATTGCAAATATAAGCAAAAGCAAACAGAAAAGGATGACAAACCCTCACATACCCACTCCCCAGCTTCAACAAGTATCTATATCTTCCATTCTTTTTCATCTCTGTCTCCATCTGCTCCCTGCCTTGTACTTGCTGGTTTTGTTTTTTTTAAGATTAAAAATTTTATCACAAATGTATAGGTTGAAATGCACAAATCTCAACCGGACAATTTTGACTTGGAAAAATCCACATAACCCTCACCCCGATTAAGATCTAAAACATTTCCATCACTAGAAAATTCTCTCATGTTCAAGTTCTTTTTTGAAGTGAGAACTGTACTGATAAGGAAACAATCTCCTATTCCCAGATGCCAGTAGATTATTACATGATAAGGGCTGAGAATGAAATCCAGTGTGAACTCTTAAAAGGACCATGGAGTAACTCCGAGAAAAAGTTATAGGC